ATATTCTTGCTTCTGCAGAGGAGTGTCCTCTGGCTCTTTGTGTTCTAAATCTTTGTCTTGATTCTTGCGATCTTCCAGTCTGTTTTTAGGACTTTGTATAATATTTTTTTATTTCAGACAACGTTTTCTTCATTTCTTGTTGATCCCTTTTCATATCCTCATAGGTCTCATTTATTTTATCAGCCTTTTTGAGGATATTGTTGCATAACCTTATAACTTATTTTTGAACTCAATGTCCAATCTTTTCTTTTCCTCCATCTCCTTCCTTTGTGTCCTTCCTCTTGTCTGCATTTTAGTTGTTTCCCTGATTTGTTGAAATAGCTTTGTGTGCTAGGTGTTCTGGTAGAGCCCAGTAGCACAGCCTTCCCAGTTACCTGCGGTGGACAGTCTTGGTGTAGCCCTTTGTGGGCTGCATGTGCAGTCTTGTTTTAAGCCTTGCTTATTGTTGGTATCACTGGGAAGCATTGATCTCCAAGCCTTTTGGCTGTGAGGATCAGCAGTGTCTCAGCTAGGAGGGCTTCTGTACTCCGCTTGGATGGGGCGGGGTCTTGGGGTGGTGCAGACAATCTTTGGTTCTCTGTCAGTCTCGTCTTAGAAAAGTCCTATTCGCTGTGAGTTTCGGAGGATTGGCTGCAGGCACGCGCACCTCTTTGTTAAAGGCACAGATAAGCTTTGGATTCCGGCTAGTTCCTCCTTAGAGAAAACCAGCCTCTGGGAGAGCTTCTGTGCTCAGCCACAGATGGGGTGTAGTCTCAGGTTGGTGCAGACAAACTTTGTTTTCCCTTGGGCTCCTCCCCAAGTCCCGCAGTAATGGCCTCTGGCTTCACACACCTCCAAGGGATCTCTGCCCGCTGCCTGACAGTCTGGCCTCTCCCTGTCTGGGGCCGTCTATCAGAGCAATAGGCTGATTCTGTTTTCCTCTCGAATAAGAAAGCCAGCCGCGTTAGCTGTTCGCCCTCTCCACTCGCCGGGAGTAAGCCATCAGCAATCTCGATCCGGCCCTTCCTCTCCCCGGGCCGGGAGTAAGCCAGCGCCTTTTCGAGCACGCAGTTCTCCGTACCTTCACAGTTCCTGAGGTTCAGCGTGCCTTCTCTCTCCTTCCCAGATGGCAGAGCCTCCTCTCAGCTAGCTGTCTGGCGCTTCAGGGCAATGCCTCCCCTGTTTTCCAGTTCTAAATTCAAATTTGTTGTGGTAGGCTGCATTCGGGTGTCTACCCTATTGCCGCCATTTTGGTTTCTCCTGAGAAGTTCTTTATGTCTCCTTCAATTCTAAATAACAGCCTTGCTGGATAGAATATCCTAGGTTGTAGGTCTTTGCTTTTCATCACTTTGAATATTTCATACCACTCCCTTCTGGCCTGTAAAGTTTGAGTTGAGAAATTCTTAGGGACCCCCATTATATGTAACTAACTGCTTTTCTCTTGCCACTTTTGAGATTTTTTTCTTTGTATTTTTCATTTCTCACTGGGTGTTTTTCATGCTTTCTATCTCCTTTTTATATTTCCTTTCTCTTTATTGAAGTTCTTCGTCGGATAATGTATTCTGTCTCTAAGTTCATTGAGCATCCTTATAACCATTGTTTAGAATTCTGTATTTGTCTCCATTTTGTTTAGTTATTTTTTTGGGGAATATTGTCCTGATCTTTCATCTAGAACATGTTTCTTCACTAAGTTGTCTTCCCATGTTTATTTCTGTGTTTGGTGTATCTGCTACATCTTCCAACTTTGGCAGAGTGGCCTTATGTAGCAGGCTTTCCTTGGGGCCCAGAGGTGCAGTTTCTGTATTCATCTGAACCAGGTTCTCTAGGGGTGTCTAATGTTTGGGTTGTGCGTGTTTTCTTGTTGTAGTTGAGCCTTGATTGCCATTGGCACATCGGTGTGTGGGATTGCCTCTCAGGCTGAGTTGGGGGTCCATTTCATAATCTACACATGTGGGTATAGTAGCAGCCAGTTTCATTTTCCCCTTCTACAGCCTTATGGAAACTTTTTTAAAGATATGTGTTTATTGATTTTAGAGAGAAATAAATGGAGAGGGAGAAACCTGTGATGATAAACAAGGTTAGATGACTGAAAATAGAAAATTATATGGAATGAACTGTCTTGTTAGACCCTCAAATGCAGTAGATATTATAGTGTTTAGAACAGTGACCAAGTGGATATTGGTAACATAGATGAAAGTGTATAAAAGAGGAGGTAATTTGTTTGTTGAAAAGTAAATTACATAGTAAACATCTTAAGTTACTTGTTCCTGTGGCTTCTTTACTAGGCATTATAGTAACCTGAATTTAAGAGACAAAACTGAGTAATAATAAAAACTTGGTAATAAATTTTAGATATATGTGTTTTGAGTTTAATGGTGTCTCTATGATCAATTATAGATAGTGGGTGAAACAAGAAGAGACATTTGAGAAATGCCTACATTAATACATATACATTTGTTTGCTAGTACACTCAGTAGAGTGATGTGAATTTTTGAGGAATACTATAACACTCATCTTTGTTTCTACAAATTATGGCAAAATGCCTGAAAAGTAATGGTACACCACTTTACATTTGTGTTGAATAAATGAACAAAGCATGAAATATTCAAATCATCTCATGAGGAGTCTTAGGAACATGGGAAAATAACAGGGTCTCATATTTTTCTCATAAATATGTCTCATTCCCGGGTACTGGAAGCTCAGGCTGTGCTGCCACAAAGGTCAAAGTTGTTTCTATATTTTAGGAAAACACAGAACTATACATGAATATTCTGAATTATTGACCTGGGTCTTTTCTTTACTATTTTGCTTTCACATGAGAACCATCTCTATTCCCTCCAGATCAGGGGTATGGGGTGGGGAGATGTGTTGAAACTTTGTTAGTGAAAATAGCTTATTACATCATGACTTATAGTTTCTCTTTCCTTCCTAGGATGTGAAAGACACTATGAAAAGGTATGTATGGAAGACCAGAGATGGTCTTTTTGTGATGTAAAAAAAGGTTTAAAGCCATTAAAGATATCTGATGGATAATTAGAATATAAAATATTGGAACAGGCAAAAGAAAAAATTAGATGTAGTTTTATCTTAAATTTCTGTTCACGCTTATTTTGTCCATTCTATATATATTGAGAATAAACCACTTCTTATATAAGAAATTTCCTTGGGAGGAGTTACAGAGTTTGGATTAGTAGCAATTAAACATCAGATGTTTCAATATCAGACACATCTGACTTCATAAATTCTATGCACTCCGTATGCCTGTATCTAATTCAGATTTCCACATTTCATAGGTGGGAATGACTGTGGGAATGTCATGTCTTCTTTACCTACTAAGCACCCATAATTTGAGATAACTCCTTTATATTTAAATGTCTTCTCTGGGAATAGAAGATATAGTTCTCATTATTTTTCAAAAGCCAACTTCAATATCAAGGAATATTTTGGCCCTAGGAAAAACAATTGATCCATCCTATAACATTTTAAAGTCAGAATGGAAGGGCATCATCTTTGTGTCTAAATTTACACCTACTTAGCCACACTAATCTCTTTCAAGCAGATAAAATTTAGAACACTATAATATCTTCTTTTCCAAGTATTACATTTTTTCCCAGAAGCCTGAAGTCTCAGATGTAATTCTGGAGGCCTCCCTATGGGGTGTAATTTAAAGATGTTTAGCCTCCACAGACAATATTCCCACACTTGACATGTCTCAAACGTAAGCAGCTATGTTCACTTTTTTAATATTGCTGGGAGTCTACATCTACATCATGACTTTTCCTTATAATAATTTATTACGAAGTACCAAATTTTCACTTTAAAGAAATTCACTATGGCACACAATTTCATATGATTTTTAGGACTTAGATGGGGAGAAGTTAGTTATCATTTTGAAAGGAATAAACCACTCTGAGAGGTCAATGCCTATCCAAGGGCAGATAGCAGTCAACTGGGAAAGTGGATTGAGCACATTTCTTCTGGTGCTAAGGTCAGAAGTATACTCTCTCCTTTCTCAGGGGTTCATTAATAGGAGCTCAAATACTCATTGGGGTGAGTAGATAAAAATCAGTGGTTTTGGAGAGATAAAAATTCAGAGGTGTGTGGATCTATTTTGTCATCCCTAGGAGTAAGAACTTCACTCTGAAGAAACCAAAATCTCTCTCCACAAAGCAAAGGAGAGTGTTCCAAGCTCCTGACCTGAGAGGTATGCTGGAAGCATTTAATGGTGAGAAATGCTAGAGCAATGGGTGGCTGTGAGATTTTTGTTATGGTTGGGGTTACAGTTCAGGTTTTAGGTGTAGACAGAGGAGACAAAGGAAGATGGATATTATATGCTGATGACATATTCAATGGGGAATGGTCAGCTGTTTTATTCACCTCTCACTCTTCCATGTACTACCTTACAGAGACCTAATCTTTGTAATATAGAATCTTTTGCCTATACTTAATGTTCTGGATTTTTTTCTAATTTCAGAACTGACAGATATACAATGAAATTGGGGTAAGAAGAAATCACAATATCATGAAGCTACCTTGTCCTCATCTTATAGAATTTTGCATTTTATACTAGGTCTCATGTATAAAGCCATGTTTTCCCTCCCACCATACATATACATATTATATTTCTGTGGTGTGTACTGCTCAAGAACCAAACCAAATTCTTCCCATTTCCCATTCATTTTATTCTCAAAACCTCTCTGACAACGTCATAAATAAGGGTACATCATATTTCTCACTAACCTGTAATTTTTCTACAGTACACGTGACCCTGGATCCTCCCATAGATAAATCAAATACTGTCATTTCTGCGGATCAGAGACAGGTGAGGCCTGCTTTTTATTGGAGAACACTTTATTTGTATCAGAAAGGCAATTATGAGGATTATAGTGTCCTGGGGTCACCTCCTATTACATCAGGAAAACATTACTGGGAGGCAGATGTGTCAGATAAATATGCCTGGGTTTTGGGGGTGTATGGTATAAAATGTCCTGACTCCAATATGATGGATTTTGTAAAACAAGGTAAAAAGCATCAGCATGACCCGCTTTCCTCCAAGCTGCATGGAACAAAGGAGACCCCAGGAAAACATCCCCCAGCTGAATTCAGAGTCCATGATGGCTAAACCCAAGGTGGTTATTGCTCCAGTGTTAATGTCCAAGCTGTCTGGGAATGCCCCGGAATTCTACCCTTCAGGTTATTCTAACTATACCAAATCCCATGAGGATAGCTGTGAGGATTATCCCACTCTATCTAAATATGTTCAGGATTTCTTGAATCATCTTAGAGAGCAGCCTGGTAGTTTTGAAACTGAAATTGACCAATTTGCAGAGACCCTGAATGGCTGGATTACAACAGATGATGCTTTGCAAGAACTTGTGGGACTCATCTATCAACAGGCCACGTCCATTCCAAATTTCTCCTACATGGCAGCTCGCCTGTGTAATTACCTGTCCCATCACCTGACAATTTGCTCACAAAGCAGCAACTTCCGCCAATTGCTATTGCAAAGATGTCGGACTGAATATAAACTTAAAGATCAAGCTGCAAAGGGGGATGAAGCAATTAGAAAACGATTCCATGTGTTTGTGCTCTTCCTGGGGGAACTTTATCTTAAGCTGGAGATCAAAGGAACGAATGGACAGGTTACAAGAGCAAATGTTCTTCAGGCTGCTCTTTGGGAGTTGCTGAATGCCTTGTTTTCTAACCCTGTGGATGATAACCTAATTTGTGCAGTAAAATTACTGAAGTTGACAGGGTCAGTGTTGGAAGATTCCTGGAAGAAAAAAGGAAAGACGGACATGGAAAAAGTTATTCAGAAGATTGAAAATTTCATCCAGGATGCACACTGCAGGACAGATGTGAAGCAGATGCTTTTGAAGCTTGTAGATCTCCAGTCAAATAATTGGGGTAGAGTCCATGAAACCTCAACATATAGAAAAGCAACACCTGAAAATGACCCCAACTATTTTATGAATGAACCAACATTTTATACATTTGATGGTTTTCCTTTCACTGCAGCTGATCTAGATTACCAAGATAAATATCAAGAGTTACTTGAATTACTTGAAAGAGAAGACTTTTTTCCATATTATAAAGAAAATGGAAAAAAATTATCAGGCTCTGGTGATTCATACTTGGATGATAGTGATGGTGAGATGGACCTAGAGATAGAAGAAGCTTATGAAAAGTTTTGTTTGGAATTAGAGTGTAAGCAAAAAAAGTAAAATTAAATTTCAATGTATTGGTTTTATAAAGCAGTTTAGGTTATGGTGACTTAGCAGAACACAGAAAAGCAGAAAAATGTGTCACATTTATACCAAATTAAGGATGTTGAGTTATGTTACTAATGTATGCATCTTTAATTTTGTTTAATACTCTCTGCCAAAATAAACTTTATCCCCTATAACTGAAAATGAAAATGTGCACAGTTAACTCCACTGCTTTGATTGCATTAAATTTATTTTGAAATAAATGAAATGTTGAAAGTAAAAAATAAAAAGTGTCAGCATGTTTGCTCTCAGTATCAACCTAAATATGGCTACTGGGTTATAGGGCTACAGAACCATTCTGAATATAAAGCTTTTGTGGATTCTGCCTCTCTGGCCCTATGACCATACCCCTGATCCTGAGTGTTCCTCCCAGGCGTGTTGGGGTTTTCCTAGACTATGATGCTGGCACTGTCTCATTTTTTAATGTCACTGCCAATGGGTTTCTCATTTATAAATTCTCTTCATGTTCCTTTTCTCAGAAAATGTTTCCATATTTCAGTCCTATTAAATGCACTTCCCCCATGATACTGAGTCCTCCAGGCTCTTAAACCTCATACCTTCATCCAATTCTCTGGAGCGCCTCTTGTCTTGGGTGCATCTAATGAGCTGACCTCACCTGCTCCATTCTCACCATCTTTTCTGAGCTCGTTTTTCCCATTTAAATGCCCTTCATTCATCAATAGGGTGTGTAATTTGCTTCAGGTCATATTTTTCCCAAAATTTTATTTGCATTCATAGAGAATCCTCATTCATCAGTTTTACCATCTCAAGGAAAATGACTAATGCCTCATAACAAAAAGGCATGTATAGAGGTAACATGTCTACCAATTTCTACAATCTCATGTCCTTGACTCTGACTAGGCAGATGAAGGAAAGCTTTTCAAGAACTCTTATTGTATAGAAGTCATTCACTATAGAATGAATCCTCAGAGGTCTGTCAGTTTACTCATGATGTTTGTTATTCATCAAGGAGTGAAGGAGAAAATATTAAATATGTTTTTTAACTGATTTTTTAGAGACAGACAGGGAGAGGTAGAGAGATATAGAAACATTGATGAGAAAGAAACATCAAAGGACTGCCTCCTGCATGTCACCTACTGGGGATTGAGTTTACATGCAGGAAATGTACCCTGACTGGGAATTGCACCAGCAACCTCTTGATGCATCGGTTGATTCTCAACCACTGAGCAACATCAGCCAGGTAATAAGAAAATATTATAAATAATATGTACTAAGAGCGTAAGTTCTATGTCCTCATTTCTGAGTTCACATCCAATTTCTCCAAAACTGCACAGTGAATTTTGAATAAAATTCTGAATGCCAATTTGTTGTAAGTGATCCTGGTATAAAACCACACCAAAGTATCACTGTGAGAAGAAAAATGTCATTAAATATATAACATGTGTCTCAACTGAATAAATATTTTCTCCACTAGTTACTGAGAAAGCTAAGCTGTGCCAGTATCTCATGAAACAGGTTTTGCTTTCAGGGGCCCTATAGTAGTTTTTACTAAACTCTCATGTTTCAGAACCCAGTTATCTCTGGGCTGCTATCTAGCCTACTCCAGCTCTGCCAGTGTTAGACAAGCCTGTGAGTATGAGTGTGTGTGTGTGTGTGTGTGTGTGTGTGTGTGTGTGTGTGTGACTGACAATTTTATTATAAGTCTGGTGTTACTACATATTAGCCTTGATCAAGTAATCTAAATTGTACATGATTCAGTTTCACATTTGTAAAATAATACGAAATTTACCTGATGTATAATTGTAAAAAATTAAACTAAAGACTATTTTCAATAACATCTGTCATGTCTAGTACATAATTGGTCCTCAAGTATGCTGTTGATTCATTTTTGTTTGCCTCTCACTGTGATTGAAATAAGAAATTTTAAGAATACATATTAGTTTTCTTTCAATTTTACTATTCTTGCTTTGATTTAAGAAATAAAGATAGCTTGATGAAAGAATTGTGAACTCTAATGGACAAAATAATCTGATGAACAAAATGGAACCAGAAACAAGAATACATGGAACAGACTAGACCTGTGGGGAGGTGGGTGACAGTGACTGGATAAAGAAGGTAATCGTGTTAGCAAAAGAACATATATGCATACCCCATGGACATGGACAATAGGCTTGTGAAGGCAAAGGGATGAGAGGTGTAGGGGAGGATAAATGTGGGAAAAAGGAGGTTACAGGGGTATGTCCATTTTCAACAATGACAACATTAAAAATTTTTAATAAAAAATGTTTCCACAGAAATGATATAAATGTAAGAAGTACAATTGTGGGATTTCTTAACAGTGTTTAGTTGTCCAGGTCAGCCTCACTTTTTTAGTGAGCTACAAGTTTGCAGGAACAAGAGAAAAGCCAGTTCTCTTCCAAAGAGATAGCAGGGGCATGATACTTGCAATGGATATTCCCACTATCCCCTTGTCTTTTGGAATTTTTACTCCCAAATTTGTCCCCAAAGAAGTAAAAGTTAAAATAAATAGATTAATTAATTAATTAACTAAATTGACTCCCTTGTCAATTATTATCTGCTCTTATCACTGCATGGCCACAGGGGTATCTAAATTCCTCACTTTGGATTATCTTTGATATAACTAAGATAATGTGTGTGATATTAATCTAAATTTTCCCTTTGATCTTTGCCTTCTTTCACTCCATTGTTATGGTGCCTGGGGCTATGGCTTACTAGTAATACTCCTCAATTTTTGACAAATTTTTGACAAATCAACTCTAGAAGTTTTCAGTTACTGGAAGCCCAGTCCTCCAATTCAGGATGAAGTCTTTAGTTACAAGGAAAAAAAGACCTGAATATTTAGGTACCACATGTTTCAGGTTCTTGACACCACTGTCAAGACTGCTTAAGATCTGCCTCTGATAAACACACACACACACACACACACACACACACACACACACACACTCCAAGCATACTTTTTTCCCCAATCGTTTTCTCATTGGCCTCACTCTCCAGTGAGCTGACAGACTAGAGTAGTCCCTAGGACAGAAGACAAGTCTGTTTTTCCTCCCTTCCCCAACAGTGAAAAAGAGGGGAGTTGAATCTGCAGTGAATGTGCATGCAAGCCTTGGTGTGATCCCAGTCCAACCTTCTGAAATACAGACAGTTCCTTGTTCTTGAGGAAGTAGTATACACAGATTTACTGGTTTTTAGGTTCAATGTATCTTATGCCATAACCAACATCCAGATTTTTTTCCCCCCCAAGTATTTGTCCCAATTTTTCATTCTCACAGTGGATAAAAGAGTACAGGATGATTTTGGGTCTGGTGGTAAATGCAGAGGTATACAGTAAAGTAATTTTTGGTATAATCTAAATTTGATCTACAAAACTTGTTGACAGTTAAAGCGGAATGCAAGCTCCACACATAGAGTGTTTTTATGTGGAGTGCACATGGACAGGGAAGGATGTGTGCCTCCTACAAATCCCATACTCATCATATTACTTTTGTCTCCCTTTGAATCTCTGATCTGAGCCCATTTCCTAAGCACCAGAGAACTAATGTGTTCCCTCCAGACCCTGTGTGAGATGTTTTATAAGGTGCAGAGCTTGGAATGAGAAGAACAAAATCCTTTTGTTAAGAAGGAGTATAGAAGCTAGCTCTTTATCAGATTTCACCTTTTAGCTCCCAAGAAATCTCTTTCTTTCAAAACTCAAACTGTAACATATAGTATGCATATTTGAGTAGGTTGAGGGAGGGCCCCTTAGAGCTGTAAAGCCTGGAACCAATCGATAATTTAAATATAATAACTATAGGTGGGGCCTAATGTCTTTGAGCTTGTCTGTGAAGAAATTATAAAAATATTAATAAGGAGCCAAAACCGGTTTGTCTCAGTGGATAGAGCGTCGGTCTGCCGACTGAAAGTCCCGGGTTCGATTCCGGTCAAGGTCATGTACCTTGGTTGCGGCCATATCCCCAATAGGGAGTGTGCAGGAGGCAGCTGATTGATGTTTCTCTCTCATCGATGTTTCTAACTCTCTATCCCTCTCTCTTCCTCTCTGTAAAAAAATCAATAAAATATATTTTTAAAAAAATATTAATCAGGAAAATGTTTGAGAAAGTCAGAAGCCCAAGAGAGGCTGTGTGGGCAGGGAGAGTGATGCTGGTGTCCTGGAAACTTCCCCTGAGACACCAGTGAGGAAAACAGAGCTTGTCAAACCAATAGGAACCCAGAATGAAACATGCTCCTTCTCCCATCACTTAAAGTCCACTTCCAGAACCACGCACATTGCTGTGGTCCACATCTCAGCATATTATGTTCTGAGGCCCAGGGAATAATACATTCTCCTCAGGGCTCTATGTTCCCTTTAGTCCCTACAACTCCTATTGGAGAGAAGTTCTCTGACTTCAAATCTATGATTTTTAACTGTTTCTGGACTGAAAATAGCACAGGGTACAGGAAGTAATGTGGTTAGGGTGTGGTGGTGTAGATAAAAAACAGACATTGAGGTAAGTATCTGAATATATCTTAGGAACAAAATAGAATGTGAGAATTGTTTAAATTTGTCAAAGGAGTGTACATAAATGCTAAATACCATTTTGATTTATTGATTTTGAAATATGTTTTTATTGATATTTTAGAGGTAAAGTGATAGAAGCATCAATGAGAGAGAAACATCAATGATCTTCTACATCCTGCTCACCCCATACTGGAAATTAAGCCCACAATCCAGGCATGTGCCCTGGCCTGAAATCAAACTGGTGACCTCTTGATTCTTGGGTCAATGCTCAACCACTGAGCCACACCAGGTGGGCTTGATTTATGAACACAGCAGTTATGTTGACAGCAACACCAACAATAGAACAGAAACATGATTATCATTAGCATGCTCAATGTAATTAAAATTACATCCATAGTAATATAACTGTATGTCTTTCTATTTAAATATCATTCCCCATATACCAATATTTTGTAACAAATCTGACACAATAAGAAATAACATAAAGAAGGTTCCTTCCTGCCTTCATTAAACTATTTGTTTTGGGGTACAAGGCTAGATGAAAAGGGAATACTCAGTTATAGTTTTATGTGATGATGAAGGGTAAAATAAGACATTTTGGGGGGACTAGCTACCTGAATCTATGCCAGTGACCTGCATTCTGAAATACACTCTTG